CGTTAATGTCTTATGTTGGATTGAGTGTCGTCCCCACACTATTCGAGCAACAGTACCAGTAGCTTGTGCCTTAACAGTTTGTCACTATGATCCGTTTTCCGCCCACCATTTATGGCAAGCCCAAGTCTGTGTCCATGATTCATTTTTGGGCGTGTGTTGCCCCCTCGTACCAAGGGAGGACCTGTTGTGGAGACAACACGATAGCTTACAGCCACATGGTAGGGCCGCTCTTCATGTGCTTGCCTGAGTTTGGTGAACGGGCCGTCATGCGCAGGCGCTTATGGATGGCCAGGTGTGTATGTTACCGAAGCTTTGCCAGGAGGGTTGCCGTTGCCTTGGCCTGTTGAAAAGCTTGGTTGTGACGTCTATCCTTGACGCAAGTCCTTGGTCACACATTTTAAAGGGTCAGACTTGCTAGCATCTTCTCCAGCTTCCTGCATCAGCCCGCCTCTCGCTGTGCTTGTGCTAAGACCGCTAAGACCTCTTTCAAGTCCTGTGCGAAACATGCCTGTGCAAGACGCAGCCTGTTGCATTTGTTTTTATGGGCTAGCCATCCTGCTTCTTAACTTAGTGCAAGACAAGATGTTAGCGTTTTTGACGTCTTCTCAAAATGCCATGCTCAGAGCGCGCGTGCGAGACCGTTGATGGAGACACCTTAGAATAACTTGCGCAGCACCCCCAGGCAGTCTTTGGATAGCCCAAGGTATGTCAAGGGTAGTTTCTTGCGTGACCACTGATCAACTCACATGCCCATAGGACTGTTGCAGCTGCGCTGTCCTGGAACAGAGTCTGCGTATCGGCGGCCGTGCGTCCCAGAGTTTTGAGACCGCGCGCTGCACTTGCGCTTCGCTACTCCGCGCTTGATTTTTGCACGCGTTGGGCAGAAAAGCGTTACCTGAACGTCAGTTGTTTCTGCTGAATGCGCGTGCGTGCAGTGCTTTGCGCATGTGCCTTGATCGCAGGACACTGGGCCCCAGGTTGAGGAGGTCGCTTCGCTTGCCGATGTTGCTGCAGTTCATCCATGTCATGTTTGCCAGGAAGATTTAGCTCGTCTGACAGAGCAGGATGACTTCGAGGTTGACACCTGTCGCATGTGCCAGTTGCTCGAGCATGCCACAAGTGCAGAGGTGAGGAGCCTGCGAGAAGCCAACGCTCATCTTCGAGCCGAATATGAAGTCTTGCAAAGACAGCTGGCCAATCAGGAGAAGAAGATCCAGGCTCTGACAGAACAAGTCCACTGGTACCAGAATGTCAGGGACTGGATAAGTTCCGGCATATCATCTGGCATGCGGTGGAAGGAGGCCCTTCATTTTCCAGAGTGGCTTGTAGTAGGAGGTGAAAGAATCACCACTCTCCTGGCTGAGTCAGATTCAGCACATGTCTAATGGTGCCGAGCGCGCAAAGCGTGGCACGCGGCGCACCATTTACTAGACTATGGGGAGAAAAAACTCGCCTTGTAGAGGAATTGCTGGGCAAGAGCTGCGCGTGCGGGCCTCCTTGTTCGCGCAAGCCATGCGAGGAAATCTTTTTCCAACAGTGACAGCTCCTTCGCACTTACAATTGATTTAGGGGAAGCAGTGTGCCAGCCATTGGCCGTGGGCCCATGTGCTCGACCACTGGGCTGTTGTCAGAGAGCGGCGAAGAAATTATAGCTAGTTCTGAGTTCTGGGCCCACCTGTAAGTTGACAAGCAGCTTGCCTGGATGTTTTTCTTTTGGGGGCACCTGCTGGGTTTCTTGGGGCACACCTCGCCCGAGTTGAGGGTTTTTGTTTGGCGGAGTTGTCATTTCGGCTTTCGGCAAGATGGGCTTCTTTTTGGGCCATACAACGCTAAGAATGAAGGTCCCCGCTCTGAGCAGAGCACTTTTTTCACACAGTTGCTTTTTAGCGCTCTCATTATTGGCGCCTCTGTGTTAATCAGCAACAACGTGAATGATGTGCATCCTGAGCTACTTGCTTTTCAAATCCACAGTGGTTCGACAGGCTGTTGTGTTGGCGTACGGTTTTTCTGGCTTGGTAAAATGGTCTAGTAGCATAGCCAGCATTGAATGCTAACGCCTGTCCGGACCCCTTTCGTTGAGCTCCAGGTTTGCGGGTAGGCGAGGTCCATGTTTGCCCAAACTTCCAGCCTTGCTTCCCTGTTCAAGTGTCAGGGCATCAAAAGTAAGGATGCGCTGTATAAGTTTCAGGGCGCTCGTGCGTAACCATGCCTGTGTGCGTTCGTGTGTGCCCCTTGTTAGCAACAAATTCAGAATGAGATCATGCCTTCTGACGTCGGTCCATTCTAGGCCTCGGTGGTTGTACGCAGCACGCGTGGTAAGGTGTGTTACTAGCGCCCGGGGCTATTTGGTGATTTGGCCTTGGAGTAGTGTGGTCAGACATCTCCATAGAGGCCCCAGCGCAGCTCGCTGCATGTGCCAGGTCAGGAGGCGGTGCTGGATGACTATGGCCCAGATTGCGGCCGCAGACAAAAAGGTTATGCAGGGCTTTCAGCTGTGGGACCATGGTTTTGCTACTAGCGAAACATACCACTAACCCTGCAAGAACCCCCTCAGGGTTCGCAAACTTCGCTTAGCCTTTTTGGGGTTCGCGCAGGTTCGCTTAGATTTTTGCCTACCCCTCCTTTCTGGTGACCACATCCGTTTTGCCCTCATGTGTAGACGTCTCAGCTCTACTGTGTATGAACGAAATCCTGCACCACCTAAAAAACCCTGGGGTGATCTCCCCCCGTAAATACCAACAAACAACGCTATGGTTTCAAAGCAGGATTTCGTCCAGGCACAGTATGTTTTTGCTGTTCGCCAATCCTGGCTAAGGGAAGGTAGGCCAGGCCGCGTTTTCTTCTGGAGGAACCCCCAGCTAGGTGCCCTTCTCTCCCCTTTGCGGGGCAGGGTTCCCCCACTAAAATAGACTACAGAAAAAGGGGGTACCTGAAGTCTCCATGACCCCTAGAAAAAGAGGTCATGACCCCTTAATTTTGAGTAATGACCCCATGTTGAAAGAGTCAGAAAGAGACTCTAGGTACCAACTTATTCTAAGCTCAGACTACTGGAGGACCTCGTCTCATTTCGCCAGGTTCAACCCTGGCAGCAACGGAGAGCTCGTGCACTGCGCTGAGGCCGGCGGCTTTCGGGGCTTCGGGGCTTCGAGTTGTTTCGGGCGTCCGATCCGAGCCTTGGGTCTCCGGTTAAGTACTGAAAGGGGCAAGGTACTTAGTGGGTACTCAGAGCCACGTGCTCAAAACCCGAAAATTGGTGTAGCTTAGTAAACTGGACGATCCCAACCAGAAATAGCTGCGGAATTCCGCCTTCTCAATGCCTTACATGGTTCTGGGTAGAGCATTTTAGTACCGGGGTTTGAGTGTGACTCGGTTGTTCAAAGCGAATCGACCGGATCTGACCTTTTGGTTTTCCCATTTTGGGTTCCCATATTTAGTCATGGCCCCAAAAAGTTTACCTTTTAGTTGCAGGTCCTTTGGGCAACTGAGGTTAGGAAGCCTGGTACTTAGTAAAGGCCCAACAAAACAGGGCACCAACTCCAAAAAAAGTTGATACACCCATGCTCCAACCGAGGTTGATTCATACTTAAAGGGGCATCGCAGGTCAGGCAAGTGGTTAGTAGGCTTGCTTATAACCCACAAAAGCTATGGTGATAAGTCTCCGTTCAGTGGGTTATAACCAGGCTTACTAATCACTTACCAAGTGCCCGCTCGCCCCTACAAGCAGCCAACTCAGCTTCCTGGGTTTGAGTCACTTTTTGGGACGACCATGGTGCTCAGAGACCATGGGACAGGGCTGGGGGGAAATGGAATCCACTTGTGATGCAACAAACAGGGCTTCCCACAGACCAACCCCCCATTTAGACATACAAAGGGGAGATCCCCTTGTATCACAGAAGCGGGGATAAAGCCCTTGATCCCACAACCCTGCTCCTGGATCTTTCAACGGAAGACCCAGACCTCTTGATTGGACACCCCGGAGCTGTTTGGTGTTTGGGGTCTCAGAACCCGGCTGTTTTTTTTTCGGGTCCCAAGCAAATGGAATTGGAGCCTCTGGGTGGTGAACAACAAGTCGCAGACGCTTTTTGTTGGCAATCCACTTGATCAGTGAGCCAAAGGCATGGGTCGTACCGTGGCTTGATTTCCATGGGTTTGTATCCATGGGTCAGCTTCCCTCTACAGAACTGGGGGCCTAAAAGGGGTTTGCTACACAACTGCAACCCACCGCTTTGTACCCTGGAATCAGATTTCTTGGTGATTTGGAGATTTGGAAATTGGTAGTTGAGAGGTGTGGAGGTCGGCTGGTTCCCGTTTACTCTTGACAAAAACCAGGAGTTCAATTGCCCAAACCACCAATCCAAGCCACCAAGTAGGGTGGCTTCAAACAAAAACGCGGATTTAACACCAAATGCCATGCCTCCAGTTGCTTCAGTCCCCAGCAAAAAACATGAAAACTATGTCCAGTCAAATCGATTCCCTTTAAAAACCAACAGGAGGGGTTGCCTCACCAACACTTCCAACATGCCTGACGCTTCGGGGTTGCTTCGGGAAGGTGTGCGACGAGTGCAAGCTCCTTTCATAGAACCCATAATTCGATTTTGTTGGGTCTCCGTCGATGATTTTTTTGCGGGGGGGGGGGCACCGGTCTTTTGGTTGGCTTTAAAACAAGGCCAAAAGGAAGCCCATGTTGGGGGGTCCACTAAAGAAAGAGATACCCATTGATGATTTCCGTGCGAAATTTGATGATTTGCCCAGATGTGACGTTGACCCAAGTACCAATCAAGACACTGAGACCAGCAACTAACTTTTGGTTGTTCCATGGTTTGACCATTTGCCTGTGGTTTGACCTTGTACCAACCAAAACACGTAGTGAATGCAATTTGCAAGTTTGGTTTCAGTCCAGTGGTTGTTCATTTTTCTGTCTGGCTTTTGTGTCTGTTGTTGTGTTTGTGTTTTTGGCTTGATTGGTGGACCAATTGGAAAGGTTGATTACTGTGGCCAATGGAACCCCCTGTCAAGTGAAAGAGTTGTCATGGGTATGGCGCACGTTATTGTCGTGGAATGGGCTGCAGGTTTATGCCTGTTGGGGTATGTGATCGTCTCCTTTTCTAGTTTGCCTAAACCAAAAGTAGCCTCCTCAAGAAGATTTACCCGCACTCCCACTAACATGGCACCTGACCAGGGGTTTATTTGATGAGGAAATGGATCATCCAGGTACCCTCTCACAGATGCTATGTTAGGTGGAGGAAGGGTACCCGTTGTGAGATTGTTTCGATCGGGGTTGTGGAGCAATGACCAACCAAGGGTAGAGCATTGGTAATGGGTCCGAATGTTTTTCCTTTTCCTGGGGAGTGTCAAGGTAGCAGTGTTTAACAGCACCTCTCCTCAAAACCCTTTTTGAGGTTCCCCCAACGGGATGCCAAAGGGAACATCCGCGTTTTGCGCGAGCATCCATGAAGCAGGCCTGCTTTCCAACCCCAAGCCTGTTGTTTGACCTCCATTTGTTGTGTTGGTTTTGACAGGGTTTGCCATTTCCCTTTTCAAAAGCTCCAAATGTGGAGTGTCGAGGGAATTCATCAACTTTTGAAGGGAAATCCAGTGACCCCTGCTTTGAAGGCGGGCCCAAACAACCAGTTTGAAAAAGAAAAGAAGGCCAAGGTCCAACCGTTGCTCGTTGTACCCGCCCAGTTGCGGGACTAGTTGCGGGACAGGTGGTGGCCAAGGGGGACTACGAGTGGCGGATCGAAGGCATGTCGTGGCTGGTGAACGCTCTGAGCCAGAGCCTCGTGCGAAAGCCATACCTATAACCAGAAGGACAAAAAACCTCAAGTAGACAAAGTACAGGTAAAAACCCTGCAAAAAAAAGTCCCCCAAAGGTTGACAAACAGCGAAAATCATGAGAGTACCTCAGTTTTCGCAGGGAGTCAGCCACCGTCAAACGAGGGAACTGCGCGCCATCTACGGCCACAGGGCGTAATCAAAGGAACCACCCTTCAGCAACATGACGCAAAGGTTTGCCCCAGCGCACGAAAATACTTATCACAAACGGTGGGCTTGAGTTGGTACCCTGTTGTGTGACTTCAACGGGAAACCGAAAGGAAGCCTCCGTTTGTTTAGGGCGGTCCGCTAAAACAAGACACACCCAAGTGGGCTATGCATAAGTCCTGAGTCTCAACCCAAAAGAAGATCAGAGCCCAATCAGGTTGGGTTTCCATTGAACCCACGAACAGTGAGTCCAAAGGGAAACAAAAAGGAAACAGAAAAAGAGAGAGAGAGGGAGAGAGAGAGGGGAGAGGTGGACCCAAACACGCAGGGGGCCCAGACCGGAAGTGACCCGTTCCGCGGTTGGTTGCACGAAGTTCGAAGCCTCACCAAGAAGAACTCTTCGCCTTTAGGCTTCGAACTTCCTGGCTTGCCTGGCAAGAGGAAAACCCTCCTTGATTTCCCTGGCAAGCAGTTAAGAAGCAACACGCTGTCACTGAGTCACTAGCTGCAGGGCTGGATCAGCCTAGCCCAGTAAGGGTTCCCCCCCGCCATTGAAGGCGGACTTGCAACCAGCAAGAAATGCGTTTGTCCTTTGCGAGGCTCAGCGTACCCATTGTGTGGTTGTTTGTTTAGCGGTGAGCCCAACATTTTTGGAGGGTACGGATCAATTGGGCTAAGATGTGCTCAAAATCGGCCACTTCCCTAACGGCGAAAATGGTACCGACTCCAAACAACACACTCATATTGCTTTGTTTTTTGGAGCCTTCATTGTTTGATTTGAGGCTTAGGGAAACCGAAACTTCAAAAGGAACGCCGCCATTTGGTTGAGTCTTCTTTTGAGGGTGTGTTGGAAGGTGCTTTAGGAAGTTAAAGGGAAACCGAAGCCCATTTGAGCCGAAAAAGAAAACCCGTTGTTTGTGTCAATGTAAGGCATGGTCCCAGTTGTTTTGGACGTATCAAAACAGCTGCACCGCCGCTTGTAATTTCAAGGGCAGGAGTGTGTTGCAGGAGCGGCCGCGCAAGTCAAACATAGGGCTGCGCAAGTAAAGCGCAAGTGAAGCGCAAGTGACGCTGTGATTCATCATCATCATAATCATCATCATCATCATCATCATCATCATCATCATCATCATCATCATCATCATCATCACCATGGCCGAAATATTAACAAGTTTTCGCGCAAGTCCCGCGCAAGTCGCGCGCAGCCCGCAGATGCCCCCAAATTGCTTGGAGCAGAAGTGGCCCATTTCTGTATTTTGCATTTTCTTTTCTCTGCAGATCCCAGCAATTTCACATGAGACCTCATACACTTAAAGGGGCATGCTCTTGGGGGACCTCATGCTTATGAAGACCGCCGCTTGGATTTGCAATGAAAATAGCTTGGGATAAGAGTTTTAATACGGGTTTATTTGTTCAGCTCATTTTGGGTTAAGACACACCCATTTGGGTTTGTCTCAACATAGGGCAACCATAAAAATAGATGGTGTCCTTTTGGTTGTTCTTTAACGCCGCCCTAAAGGTACCGATGCTCGAAAAAGACGAGCCACTCATTTGTCTGTGTGCTTGTTCATCAGGGTACCTTTTTTGTTCCCAGAGGCTCCCGATGTAGTTAGGGCCCTCAAACAGCCAGGTTTTGAGACCCCCAAACACCTCCGGGGTGTCTAATGGAGGGGTCGGGTCTTCCATTGAAAGCCCCAGGAGCGTCTGGGTTGTGAGGTTTTTCCGGCACACCGCAGACCCCCCGAAAAAAAAATGACGAGCCACCCTCTGAAGGCTCCCCGAATGAAAGGATTCGAGCCACCCGCTTGGTTTGATCCGATCCTCGGCTCGGTGTCTTCCATTTGCTGAATATGTGTTGTTTTATTTTCCCTTGTTGGAAGGGAATCGATTTAAATCGACATATTCAGTTGGAATATTTGTTTTCCACATTTCTTTTGTTTTCCATATTCCCTTGTTGGTTTTAAAGGGAATCGAGTTAACTACTGGACATATTTTTGTTTTATATATTTTTCTCCGGGGGCGATTTCCGCAAATGGGATCCAGCCCAAAAAAGACGAGGGGTCTCCCCCCCAAAAAGACGAGCCACCCGCTCGGTGTTCTCGTCTTTTTCTCGTCTCCGGGCTGGGATTCCGCGAGCCAGGAACGAGTGCTGCAACTTGGAGAGCTGCGCCTTCATCGTGGGCGGCGAGGAGTTCACCTTGGTCTACAACCCCAAAGCCACGGACGTGGGGGACATCGGCAGACAAAGAGGCAGTTGGGGCCGTTGATCCGGCATAATGTTGACGGATCTAAGTAGAACCCGTCCCACTAGGGGGGTGTTCCCTCCAAAAGTGGTCTGAATCCAACCACTAAAAGGGGACAGCCCCCCCATCAAAATCAACCAGGGGTTTATTAATCCGGGGTTAACATTATCCGGGCGCGGAATGGCATTCATTTCGCGCGTTTGGTTGCTGGGCGTTATTTTGTTTTTTTTTTGTTGCGTCTGGTTGCTGCGGGCTTGGCAATATTGTTTTTGTTCGGGGCTCCTTTTAGGTGAGTTGTTTGTTTGGTTAGATGGAAAACCCACTGATTGCTAGTCTTCCCCGGTGACGAAAATGGGCTTTTACGCACCCCGTAACCGAATTCGAGAAGTTGTTCTGGCCTTTTTGCCTCAAAGCAGCGAGTTTGTTGGAGCCAGTTGAACCAGTTGCGAAGAACAAATGGATCAACCCTTTCCAACCTCCATGTATCTTGGCCCTTTACCAACATGGTGATGGTAGAAGATAGTTGAACTGCCTAAATTCTAGGTGTACACTGTACATATAATTATATATCTATGTGTGCATACATACGTATAATATATATATATATATACATATGTATATCACACAACTGCCAGAGGGTCCCGCAACGAAGAAAATGATCTTCCAGGTACCCTCCCAGAAATGCCTTCTGTTAGTGGGAGATGCAAAGATAAGCCATTTTGGCAGTCTGTTTCAACATCAGTTTTATGTTCCGTGCTTCTACATGACTTAACTCACACAGCCTGGTTTGGTGTTCCTTTGTCCCTTTTAACCAACAAGCGGTCACTGCTTGCGCCCGAGCCCGACCCAGACCTGAGGGGTGCTGAAAAATGGGTAGCTTTCTCCTTCAAAATGAGTCATTCGAAGCCTCACCTCAAACGGTTTGCCTTGCTTGCGGGTTTTCAACGAACTTCATTTGTGCAACACATACCTGTGGGTCAAAAATAGAGTAACCCCAAACTGGGTTGCCCTATGGAAACACGGACGATTAGACCTGCGATCCATGTCCTCACTTGTTCAGTGGCTCCCTTTTGCCCTTTGTTTTTTGGTGGCTGCCCCACTAAAATGGTCCAAGCCCAAAAAAGAATTGGTTCTTTTTCTTTTTTTCCAGGGACACTGAACAACTGAGTATCCTGGTGGTTAAGTTTGTCCCATACCCAAAATCAACCTGCAAAAAGTGGTCACTCGTTGGGTCGGACAAGCTCAGGCCCCAGGGCCCCCCAAAGCCTCGCCCCTTGGAGGCTCCCTCTGCATTGTCCACCAAGACGAGGGAGGCATCTGCTTCCGCTACCGAGCGCTGATCCTTGGAGTCAATACACCTGTGTGTGCGCGTGCGTGGTTTTTTGAGGGTGGGTTTCACCAGGTTGAAATCAAACGGTTTCATAGGGGTCCTCCCTTTTTGATACATGTCCAATTGAATTCGGGGGAAGGATCTTGTGTTTGCAGAGGAGGACATTGAGGATGCTCAGCAAAGCACCCACCAAATGAGTTAGTTCGGCAAACCAACTGTGGGTTTATCCCGGGCTGTCATATTCTTGGTTCATGCGTTCAGCCTTAGGGTTGGAATCGATGCTTTATCTCCCCTGAGCTTGAGGAGCATAGGTATGTGTTGGGCCAGACTCACCGAGAAAGTATATGCTAGGTCCCCCAGTAGTGCCTTGCTTTTTTCTCCTTTTTTGGGTGGGAGGGTTCCCGTACTAAATAGACTACAGAACAAAGGGTACCCTTATTCTAACCCCTCTACTGGAGGACCTAGGGCAATACGCCGAGGACCTTGAGCCCCTTGCTCCAAATACCATCAAAGACCCTGTTTGGTTAGGGTATAATGTCTGGTGTCACACCCCCAACAGCAACCCCCACGCTTCCAGAAGCTCCCAAACCTTGGGCGGAGATCCGAAAGTTTCCTGAAAAGTAGGCCAAGGGACCCCCGATGAAAAACCAAATGGAAAACGGTTGGTTACCCAGGTCCCCCAGCTAGGTGCCCCTTTTACATACGTTTGGGACATGGACCCTGAGTTGTCCAAAGCAAATCGACCCCGTTGGGGGCAACTGAGACAAAGAAGTGAAGTCCTTGATTCTAAGGTTTTCCCACACCACCCTGGCATTGCACCAGTCATATAACTCATCTTTTGGGCAACTCAACTGGCCCATTCCAAAGGCGGTGCCTTTGGAGTTTTGGGCCTTTCCGACCGCATTCTCGGAACCCCGCGCCCCTTTTTTTCTTCCCACAGGACTTCGGCATTTTGGGGTCAAGCCACTTGACTTGAGAATTGATTTTTCAGGGTCCTCCGCCCTATGAGACCAACACGAAGCCACTTGCACCCCATCTTTGTCTTAACAAGAGCCCGCCCTTTTTGGGCACCAAGCCACTTGAACCGCAGGTTTTCACCAACCAGTTTTCTTCTGCAAGGATTCGCCCTAGACCAACCCGCATTCTTGAGACACATTTTGTTCCACAAGACTTCAGACACTTTGTGACCAACCCATTTGTTTCCACCATAAGGAATTCACCGTGTTGGGGACGATCCCGGCCACTTGACCGCAGGATCTTTCGGAGTCATTCGCCCTTTTGGGGACCAAGCCGCATTCTTGACTCGCGTTTGTTGTTGTCCTCAAGAACGCAGAGATTTTGGGGACCAAGCCATTCTTGAATGGCATTTCCTCGTTTTCGCCCACAAGAATTCAGAGATTTTGGGACCAACCCAACTTGAACTCCATAACTTTCCGCTAGAATTCGCACGGTTTGGGGCTTGGCTGACTATTTCTTCCTTTTCGCCCACAAGAATGCTGAGATTTCGGGGAAGACTCGCCACGTGACACGAAGCCGAGTTTTCCGCAAGAATCCGCGCGTTTTGGGGCTTGACTCGCCGCGTGACGAAGCGCTGAGGATCAAGAACTCCTCGGGCCAATTCGTCCAGTGGGGCCCGGAGGGCAACGAGTGCCACCCCGCGGAGTCCACCTGCGGCCGCGCCTTCGGCCCCGACGTCTACAACGAGGGAGAGGCGCGTGGACTGGGGCAAAATGGCCATGGGGCAAAATCCCGGTTACCCCCCAGTGAACATCCCAATCCAACCACTAAAATAGGTTCTAAGATGGGTGGTGAATTCACCTACCAACCAAAATGGTACCGAAACGGTTTTGACCCACAGGCATATGAGTTTATCCACATCGGATCTCAGTAAATATCCGGAAGGTGTTTGGGGTCTCAAAACCTGGCTGTGGGAAATAAACTTGTCAAGGGTTTGCGAACAAACAACAGTCCTGCTTCGGACTATTTTTTACTTTTCGGGTGTTGACAGTTTTAGTGGTAAAGAACAAGTTTAGACTGTTTTGGCTCACTCAGGAAGTGAGAAAAAAACAGGTGTGTCTTTTTTTGAACTCTTCCCGCAATTGGCTTCGGGTTGCCTTGTGCTTTCCCATGATCACCCAAAAATGGGACAGAGCCTTAAAATGACACTCCCAAACAGGAGAGACGCCTTTCTTGTGGTTGCCAGTTTGGGCAGTGGGGGCCCCTTTTGGTGTTTCGAAATTTAGCGATACGGACCCCACATTTCAGTTACTTAAACGGAAATGTCCCTTGACTTTGCCGTTGTTTCTCTTGATATCCACTTCATTTCATCACTTGAAGAACCTTCCCCCCCCCCAAAAAAAAAAACGAAAGCCACCCCAAAAGACCGAAGCAACAGGTGGCAAAAAAACCGAGCCACCCATAAAAGCCATGGCTCCGTCTCGCGTCTCGTTCGGATCCCTCCTTTCGATTTCGTCGCGAAAACGGCGCGACGCGATTTCAAGGTGCCTCCGAATGGCGAGGTGGGCATCTTTGGGCTGAGCCACGAGGAGCTTCTGAGCTCCGCCGCTTGGAGAGCGAAGAGCGGAGAGCACTGTGCTACTGTGGATGGTTGCGAAATCCATGTCGCACCACAGGGCACCTTAAAAGATCTCCATTCTGCAATTTGAAACATGTTGCTTCTTCCACCAAACAAAAGGGATACCGCCATTTACAAGTTGCAATGCTCAGGTGTATAATGTAAGGATCCCTGCACCACCTAAGCAATCCTTGTTTCGGATGATTCCCCTGAACATGCCCTGAAGAAACCAGTGGCTTCCCATGGTTTCAAAGGATTCCGTCCATCCACAGTAGGTTTTTTCCAGCTAGTTCCCCTTCTTTGCCAACTCTTGTGGGTGGGAGATTCGGTTCCCCGTGTCTAAAATAGACGTCCTGAGAAAAGTCGGTTGTAATCCTCGTTTACAACCGGAGGGAATATTTTGATTGGTTTTGGGTGCACTCCTGGAGTTCCAGTTCCTTTTTTCTAGTCTTTGGGAGCACCATTTCGTAACTAGGCCCCCCCAGCAAGTGGTGCCCGCTTCTCTACCCACTTTTTTGGGTTGGGAGCTTCGGTTCCCCGAATTCTCAGTCCAACCTCTCACATCTGGAGGACCTCGATAAGGAAACCAAAGACGCGGAAACCACGAGCCAAACCCAGTGGATCCGAACTCGCATAAGGCAACAAGGGATTGAAGAGGGTGGGTTCCTTGGTGACCTGCTGAGGCAGTGTTGACCCCATGTGAATCAATTTTGGTTTGTTAGGGGGGGGTGTTCCGTTCCAGTGATGAGTTCTGACTAGAACCAGGCCCCTATAAACAAACTGATTGGTGGATGAATGCCGGGCCAATATCAAATGGACCCACTGGGAAAGGACAAAGGACGGAAACCCAAAGAAACCCACTAAAAAAGGTCAACCCACTAAAAAAGGTCAACCCACTAAAAAAGGTCCACCCACTAAAAACGAAAAGAGAAGGAAGCCCAGGGAAACCCCCGGGGTGCAGGAAAACCGCCTTGGTGCTTGTGAGCTCCGCTCGCTCGCATTTCTTGCCATTCGTCGGCCTGAGGAGTGGGTGGTGGAGGGTGCGCTCACCGCCAAGTTCGAGCTGGAGGCATTGGCAAAACGGTCGCAGCTGAAGCCTTCCATTTGCTGAAACGAAGGGGCTTGCCATGATTCGCGGAATCCATGGTTTTCTTGATCGCTCTTGGCCTGGATCTTGAGACTTTTCTGAATTTAACTTCCAGAAGCTGAAATGAACGTTTTTTTTTGGTAATTTCCCTGGTTGGTTTTGAAGGGAATCGAGGTCACTACTGGAAATGGTTTATTTGTTTCCCGGGGCTTAAGCAACTGGAAGAAGCTGAATCACCGCCTGGTGTGTTTTTTTTCTTGGGAAGTCTGAAGGAGAGTGTTCAAAGAAGCATACGGGTGTGGTCTCAGTGTTTTGATTTGAACAAACCATGTGGGTGTTGTTTTTTGGTTGTTTTGTTTCTCTTTGCATTGAACAAACCCTGAGGGTGCTGGGGTAGACTTAGGATACAATTTACATTTTACCAGTGACTCAAAGTGAAGCAAACCATATAAAATATACCTTTTATAACTGGGCCTAACTCTAGTCATGTTTTTTTTTGTTTCCTGAACCGGTCCCCTTGTTGATGGTTTGTTTTCTTCTCCAATCGGCACACCCGGCCCAAGAAGCCGTCAGTTGCCACAGTCCGATGCTCCCTGAGGTGCGGCCCAACGTGGAGCTGGACCCCATGCCGCTCAAGAAGGCCACCGAAAGTTTTGTTTGTTTTTTTAGCCGGGAAGCGACGTAGGGATCTGAGGGTTGTGGTTGATCACTCGGGGTTTATCCAACCACTTCTGTGATACAAGGGAATTTCTTGTATCACAGAAGTGGGCATTTCCCACAGCCCTGGATCTGACGGTTTCAGGTACCATCGAGAAGGAAGTCATGGCAGGGTGACGTAAATTACACGACATCAACCAGTAGCACTGCACTGGTGACTAAAGAACGGGTCAGAGTGTGTCGAACCTCTTCAGAAGGCCGTGGTGCGATTTGAGAAGAATCTCCTCCCGAGCTATGGCACAAACAACACCCCCCAAACTCCCCGGGCCCAGATAATCTCCAGATATGCCAACTTGTGTGCAGGGAATGCTTGGACGTAGATGTTCCCCAGCAACACCAGTCATCACCGCCCTTCTTTATTTTTCTCGGGGGGGAAGGACGGGTGGACCCCTGAAACTTCTTTCATGGCTATGGCCGCTACACCCAATACCAACTTTGAAATTGAACGTGGAGGTAACTTTGTCCATGCGAACAAAAAGAACTGTTTCTCAACATGAACTTCTATATGTAAACAGAATATTCTGTCCCTTCCACCTCAGTACCACTGCGTAGGTGCCCAGTTTCCCTGGGTGCTGGGATGTTCAGCCAAGTTATTATATAGGTGGTTAGCCACTAGGGTTTCAGTCCAGTAGTAACAGGGTGAACCCCACTTAGGCATGTATAAGTGGGTTACAACAACTTACTAACTTGGCCAAACACCCAATGTAGCCATCTTTGGCTGTTTTCCGTTGCTTGCACAAGGCTTTTGAACATCTTTGTTCAACTTTGAAAAGTTGGATTTGGAAGCAAGTTCTTCCATTTGCTGAAAAGAACATTACAGTATATATCATTCCTGGTTAGTTTTACAGGGATTTTGTGCACTGCGCGAAATACGGGTTATTTCCCAGGGAGCAAAAAAGCAAATGGAAGAGTTGAGGTCCAACTTTGCCCGAAGAGACAAACAACAACAGCAACCAAAGCCTTACACCAACATTACAAAGCGTCCGTTTGCGTTCAGAATATGTGTTTATGTCCCCCCTGTTTTGAGGGGACTCGATTTCAGTACTGAACATATTTGCTCACTCACTTTTTTCCTAGGGGACGAAAAAGAAAACCCTACGTAGAAACTTAGTAGAAACCCTTGAAAAAAAGGGAGGCTGTTCATTTCCGTGGAAAAGGCAAAACCTGAAACCGCTTCTCTATTCTAATTGCGGGGGGGTCTCCACGATCGACACGATCGACGCTCGACGTGCCAGGCCTCCATCGAGGTGCCGGCCTCCACGTTGGCCAAAGACCTGCTGAGCTTGCTCGAGGGCAAGGCGTTGGGACCTCGGATCGCTTCCCGTCGCATCCCGTCGCGTTCCGTCGCTCGGGTCGATCTGCCGATCTGAATTGGGTTGTGGTTGAGGCACTCGGGGTGAAAATCCAACCATGCCGGGGAGATTTGGCCGGAATCCCCTCTTTGGGAGTAGTCTTACTTGGATGCTCGGCCAAGTTGTGGCAAGTAATATCATAGGCAATGTTGACCCCATATGAATCAACCCGAGTCTGTCTATGAATCGTTGGGTTGTGGTGGATCAAGGGAAAGCGAAGCAATCCCCACTTACTAACTTGACGAATCGAAGATCCAAGCATCTGTATGTTTTGCGTATCTGTATGTTTTCCGTTTGTGGTGCATCACACGGGGGATTTATCCAACCAGAAGTGGTTTGATGCCCTAGACGCAGGGAAAAGCACCCCCCCCATATTAAGAAACAGGGGTTGTATTGAGATATCTGCGGGAACCCCTTCTTTAATATATGAACGCTTTGGGAGACTTTTCTGTTGTATCACAGAAGTGATATTTTCGCACAGCCAAGTTAGTAAGTGGCTTAAGGCGAAGCAACAGGGAAACCCATGATTTTGCGAGGTCCCCTATCTTGAGACAAACCGATTCGCCAAGTTTGTAAGTAACCCCATATTATTCAACCATATTCAACCCCAGTTTTATAGGGGGGATGTTTCCCCACTAAACCCAGGGAAAAACACCCCGTATAAATATACTGGGGTTGCTTCATTTGGGGTCAACATCAGTTAGTAACTGTTCGGGTTATAACCTACTTACTGGCCCAACTCACTCATAGGTTATACCCCAGCTGGCTAACCACTTACTAACTTGGCCGAACATCCAAGTAGGCTCACTCCCGTCCCGTCCCGGTGGTTTCTTGCAAACAAGGTCGTCACACAGCCTGGGGGGTCTCACTTGCTGAGTTTACGCGGACTTCAAAATGTTTTCTGGGTGAATTATAACGACCTCACCCGACCTCGCCCAATTGGTGGTTTATGTGGGGAATAGCCCCCAAACCACCTTATTTCAGGTTGGTGAAATATTGTAATTCAGTTGGATTTTTGGGGAAGACGAGTTTCGTGGCAAACAAACTGTTTGGGCTTTTCTCGGCCACTCGGGAAGTGAGCAGATGATGTGAATCCCAAGCTTTTCTCACTGACTATAAGCATATTCTTGGAGGGTCCAAAGACAAACCTAGCGTAACAGATCGGTCAGCAAGCCTCGACTCAAGTAAGACCTGCAGAATTTCCTGCTCTGTTCTTAGATTGTTGGGGGCCTTGACAACCATAGGAAGTCTCAGTGCTTCCAGTTGCCACCAATCCCGACTTTCAGGGATTTTCAGGGTATGATGTCAACCTCTGTTTCAGCCAAGAGGAATTCACCATGGGGTTCCTTGTTTTCTTGTTCAAACGCAGCAACTGAACAAACGGGTATTTGGAGCTTTCGGGCATCGGATCAAACACTGATTTAGCGCCATAATTAACCAGGGGCGCCAGGGGAAGATGAATTGGCCTACTAGTCACCAAAAAACTGCTTGCGTTTCCAAGCAAAGAAAGCCGAGTCACCAATAAACTGCTTGTACAAAAAAGAAAAAAATCCTCCGGCAAAACTGCTGTTTCTTTCTCCAAAACGCGACACCCCTCGTTTTTGCCTTTTGCGCGCCTCTCCGCGCGAGGGGGACGTGACGTTTATGGTGCAGAGCGAGCGCATCGAGGCGCATTCCCAGATCCTGGCGGCGCGCTCGGAGGTCTTCGGGCGGCAGCTGAGCATCGGCATGCGCGAGTCCATCTCCAAGGAGCGGGGAAGCAACAAACAAGCCCGGGTAGTATAACCACCATTTTTCAATTACGAAGGAATTTAATATATGGCCATAAATTAACATAAGGACCCCCCCAAGTGGTTTGCGGACATAAGCAACGGAGTCTTCGGGTGGAGGTTTTTCCCTGACTCAGTTGTTCAGTGGCTCCCTTTTTCTTTTTCCTTTTTTTTGGTGGCCCCACTAAAATGGTCCAAGCCCAAAAAAGCGTTCCAATTCTTTTTTTCCAGGGTCACTGAACCACTGAGGAAACAAACAAGCCCGGGAAAAAATAATTCCACTTGGCTGAAATGAATAGTTTTTCTTTTTTGCTGTATTTTAAAAGAATCAAATTTAATTCCTTAATCCATTTATTGAATGAATAGTTTGTTTCTGTGATTTTAACGAGAATCAAGTCTTCCACTTGGCTGAAATGAAACGTGTTGAAGTTTTCTGTGTTGTTCAAGGGAATCCATCTATCACCGAGCTGGCTGAAAAAGAAATAGAACCGCCGCCGGCAAAAAAACCGTCTTCCATTTCTCGGTGGCGAAGCCAGCTCTCCGGTTCCTTAGCCTTCCCTAGAGTCTCCTTCTGACCCCTAGAAAAAGGGGTCATTCTCCAAAATTAAGGGGTTATGACCCCTTTTTCTAGGGGTCATGGAGACTCTAGGTATAGCTTTTCCTTGTTTAGTGGGCAGTGTCCACTTCACCCACGAAAAGTTATTCGCTTTTAGCGGGGGATCTGAGGGCCCAGATTTGTTGCATGAATAGTTTTGTTTACTTTCTGCGGTGTTCAAGGGAATCAATATATCACCAAATTTGCTGAAGTGAATCGGTTTGTCCTGTTCTGCTGGTTTTTCTTTTCGGGAAACAATCTATCACCATTGGCTGAAATAAATGTGTTTGGCATGTTGTCCTGGTTTTCTTTAAGGAAATGAAGCCATGAACAAATTTGCTGAAATGAATGTGTTGGACCCTCAAAATGCCAACTTAAACATGGATTATTGGTTGCCCCAACTGTTGGTTTTCAAGGGAATCGAAGAATGTTGACCCCATATTAGGGGGTAACCTTGGAAGGTGGCACACGGCGGTACCGAAAAGGGTGCAAGCGCCCTTTAATCATTTAATAATCATTTAATAATCATGCATGCCCCGTTTAAGCATGGGGCTGCAAAGTCTTGATCAAGCAAACCCACAACTGTTTGTAGGGGGGTTGAGTCTGGGTTCCTATATTTTCGTCAGGCGGTCTCAAGACAAGGCCTATTTAGAGGGTTTTGTTTTTGGTGCCTGGCGTGGTTTCGGTCCTCCCAATTTTGGGGCGGTTTTCCCTCTATATGCAGTAGAGCCCCCTGGAACAAATGTCCAAGGATATGTCCGGTAGTGAAATCGATTCCCTTTCAAATCAACATGGGAAAATAACACCTGGAATTCACCAACCATCATTTGGGGCAAGCAAGAACCCCCTAATAACAAACTGGGGTTGATTAATGTTGACCCCGGAGCAATAAACCCCTGTTTATTAATATGGGGGTGTCCCTGGTTTCAGTGGGGGTTCATCACTTTTGAGGGGCCGCCACCCCCCATATCAACAAGCAGGGGTTTATGAAATCAGGGTCAACATTATAATGATGAGGTCAACACTATTCATTTCAGCCAATGAAATTCTTGTTGCTGGGCTCAGTTACCACCATTAAAACAATGGTTGAGTTCATTTATAACCTCCACAACGCTTACCATCCAAATTGAATTGGTCCCCTTGGGCTGTCAATTGATGGGGCTCACGCAAACGGAAGCGGCTTGACGAAGCTTAAGCCGTGCAAAAACTGGTGAACGAGCCTAACGGCGGCCAGCGCCTAAACTGGGATCCTCAAAAGTACCCGTGTCTCAGTTGTTCAGTGGCACCAATTATTTTACCTTTTTTTTTGGGTGGCTGCCCCACTAAAATGGTCCAAGCCCAAAAAGGGTTCCCTTTTTTTCAAGGGTCACTGAACAACTGAGGTGTGGTTTGAAAGGAACCCTGGGTGTGCCTCACCCTGAAGCCTCCAACATGGTGTTCCATGTCGTTTCCTTTTGGAACCACACCTCACGCAGGGCATGTTTTTTTGAAGGCCCTGGAGGGGATGGACTATGGTCCATGATCGAATGGGTTTTCATGGTTCTCATCCTCAAGGACCACCCACCTGTCTAACCAGGTCCAGTAGTGCCCTTCTCTCCCATTTTTTGGTTGGGAGGGTTCAGGACCATACTAAAATCGACTACTGAAAAAAGTGGGAACCCTTATTCTAACCTCTCTACTGGAGGACCTAGAAGCAGAACAGGGTGCATTTTGCAGGTTTTGGAGGGGCTGGACCCTCCTCTCAAGACTTCCATGAGTCTCAACCTTTGGTATTCGAGACTTCTTTGCCCTAAAAAGATGAACAATGCGTTTGGAAAACCAAAAGCTGCGAGGAGATCGTAGTGGAGGACTGTGAGCCCAGCACCTTCCGCGCGCTGCTCCGGTTTTTGTACTCCGACGACCTCACTTTGATGGAAGAGCTCGCGAAGCAGGCGAAGGACACCCGACCATTTTCGGTTTTTGGGTGGGGGGAGGGGAGGGGTGCCTTCAGTTGTATACGGACACATATTTCTGGTGGTTTGATTTCAGACATGGTTTGTCCCTTGGCCAAGCACACCGGATAATGTTCGGAAAAAAGCCATGGACACCTAGAGTCGATTTTGCAGCCGAGAACCCTAAAAGACCAGTACCCTAAATGAAGGAGGTTGCAATGAAGGAGCTTGCCAAGGACACCGGACAATTTTCGGTTTTCGGGGCGGGGGGCTTCAGTTGTATACGGACACCCGTTTTGGTTGGTTGATTTTGGAAATGGTTTGTCCCTTGAGGTGTGTTTTTGGGCTTCCTTTGCTCCAACAAAAAAGTTTGGGGCTGAGATGAGATATGTTTTTCAGAGTGAGCAATTATGTTTTTGGAGTACACCAGATGTTCTTGGTTCATCAGGTATCTGCTAATTGTTGGCTTGGGGCTTTGAACCTCAGGTTCTTGTAGGGGGTAATGGGAAGCCCCTCCTTAACCAGCAAACCACCCAGCCAAACCACCAAAAAAAGCGAGGGAAGCTGACCCATGGCTGCAAACCATGGGACATCAAGGCATGTTACGACCAAGGTTGTTTGGTTGCAAGTTGTCAAACCCATGATAACCCATGGCTTTATCTCACTTCCTGAGTGGCTCCCAAAAGTATTTTGAGAGAACTCCTCGTTCAGACGAGAAACTCCTAGACGAGCTTCGATTCAGCTGCACCCTTCCATGTCCAAAAGATGCTTGTCTATAGGTCGGTGGTTTCCAGCCGTCAGGCTCAACTCAAGTTTTATAGATTCTCACCTCTTAAAAACACAACTTCTCAACTTTTTGGGTAACATGGGCAAAAATGTCTGTAAAAGATTAACTTCCCCAGGGCTTGGAGTTTTAAGGGGTAAGTTATAGATTGTGTCTTGTGTTTGTTTTCTTTTTATCCGTTGGTTTCGTGGTTGGGAGTCCATGCAACCCGCTAAAAGCTTTAAACTTTTGGAAGGGGATCTGAGGACGGCCCAGCCCCATGGCCAAACCTCTTGGAACATGGGAGGTTTCTCCACGACGGATGAAGAGAAGAGGAATCAATCCGAACGGTGATCATCCTTGTAGACTTTGCATGTGTCCAGAGGACCAAGCGGAAAAAAAACAGAGTCGGCTTTCATCTTGCGGGGATGTATTCATAGGGGGCTTTCACTGGTAGGCACCTCACCCCGGGTGAGTTCTGCTCGGCTTAGCGGAGGACAGTTCCGGCCACAAACAGGTGCCACCTTCTTGACTACTGACATGGTTTTACATGTTGCGTGTGAGCCACAATCAAGACCCGGGTAGATGAAGGTTAGTAAGGGATGGTCCCAGCCAGAAATAGCTGCGGCCGCCTTCTGTTCTTTACATGGCTCTGGTCAACTATTTTTATACCGGGTTTTTATTTTGACTCATGTGAGGCCTAAAGGGTTCATCAATTTTCCCTTCGGCCCCAAAACAGCATGGCAACCTTTCCCATGTTGAAATATCATCTCAGTGGCTTTCCAACCAATGGTCATCCCATGTAAAGGACCTTTTGATCACCCCTATATACTAGCATTGAACATTCGGGATGAACACCCGCCGGGCTGCCTTGCGAAGAAAGGAAGCCGTTGGGTTCCTGAAAGTGGAGAGTTGGAGAGCTTTCAACTTACTTTTGGGGCAACGGTTTCTCCAAGAATCCTCCACCAGACCTTTTGAGCATACCCCGGACACCTTCCGAAAGGAAACATCATGGGAAACCTTGGGTACGCTATGCCGGGCAACTTTTAACTTTGAGTTTGTCTTAACATGGACGGACCCATCCGTACCCCGCAACCCACTTCTTGATTCCGGGTAGTTTCAATAACCCCCAGAGGCTCCTGGCTTCGGCTTGCAATGGAAAACCCGACCCCGAAGCATTAGACACCCCGGACGTGGTTGGGGGTCTCAAAACCAGGTTGTTTGAAGGCCCCAAATTAATCGAATTGGAGCCTCTGGAAACGCAGCGAGAGGGGTTTGAGGCGAAACATTGGATGGCAGGTTTCCGGTGGAAGCCCGATGCTCTCCCGAACTTCCAAGATCTCCATTTACTCAGTTGTTCAGTGGCTCCCTTGTTCCTTCTTTTTGTTTGGTGCTTGCCCCACTAAAATGGTCTTCCCAAGAAAGGGTTCCAATTCTTTTTTTTCCAGGGTCACTGAACAACTGAGTTTCTGGTAACCCATTTTGCCTGTGGGGAAGACTAGAATGGAATTGAGGGACCCCAACCCCCTCTCCCTTCAGGTGGAAGGTCTCCAGAACGGCTGATTTCTCCATGTCCGAAACAGGAACAGCTGAACACCGGATTTTTGGTGCCAATTCCCGGGGTGTCTAATGCTTCGTGGGCCAAAACAATACCAAACAAAAAGGCGACGGGGGGTTGCCTCCCTCGCCGTCTCACTGCCTCGGGTATGCTCATCGACGAGATTCGACGAGGAGGGCCCTGCGGCAGGCGGCAAGACGTACACCACCTTCCTTCAGAAGCTCCTAGCCCTGAGCCACCTCTACCAGGCCGGCGTCATGGCATGCCTGTTTGGCGTCATGATGCGTCATGGCATCATAGCGTCATGGCGTGAGTTTCCATGTTTGCTGACTGCCATTGGGGTTGGATTTTTAGACTTTAACTTGTTGGGAAACTTTTTGCAGAGGGGTCAACAGCAACCGGCTTCATGGCGTGCCCTTTTGGCGTCATGGCGTGAGTCGTGAGTTTCCATTTTTGCTGAAGCGTGAAGTGTGGTGGTTATACCCAGAGGCTCCTGGCTTCGGCGTTCAATGGAAGACCCGACCCGGAAGCATTAGACACCCCGAGAATCGGTGATGGGGGTCTCTGGGTATGACTTGTTTGTTTAATGGCGACAACTTAACCCCACAAGTCTTCCATTTGCGGAAATGAACATGTGCTTTATTTGTTCCGCTTACTGCAAATGGAGGCATGCGTTTGCGATAGCGATCCAGACGAGGGTTGCTCATGAGCTGAATGACTTGACATTCCCTAGGTCTCAACCAGACACCCAGTGGCCGCTTGTTGGTCAACACCACAGGAAACACAAAGCCGATGAATGGGTTCCGATCGCTTGCGTGCAATCATTTTGCGTTGTTTCACACAATTGGCTCCTTTTTTTGGGGGGGGGTTGGAAGGGTTCCTCTTGGTCCTCTGGGCATCTGAGCCCATGTCCCTCCCGCATGGCCCCTTGTTTGGTGGTTTGAAAGGGAAGCCCAAATGGATGAGATGTGAGTATTGTCGTCATCGAGTCATAGATGTCCTTTCTGGTTGGTTTGGTTGCGAAATAGAGGGGCCCTGGTGTACCTGGGGTTCAATCATCTGCCAGAACCATCTATTTTCTAAAACGGACACTGTGGATGGATGAAATCCCGTACGTGATTTTTGCCGGGCGTTTACCAGAGACAAAAAGTCCTTGGTATTTCCAAGGCTTTCATTTCAACTGGTGCATCCACGGTATTGTCGGCATTCCCGACTAAATCCAGGAAAAACACGCCCTATGAAACTAAACTGGTTGGTCGATGAATATGGGGTGAACATTATGATCGTCAGGTGAACCGCCTGCGGATCTGGTGCGAGCAGAAGCTCTGCGACTCCGTGACGGCCAACGATGCCTTCTCCGTGCTGTCCCAGGCTGGCCTTCCGTCGCCCTCTGGGCGGTCGTCGGGAGTGGCCCAGGCGTCCAAACAGAGAATGCGGGCCCGTTTTCCGGTTGGGTGGCTCGTCTTTTGTAGGGTGCCCTCTTTTTTTGGGTTGGTTTGGAAAGGAAGCCAAAAAGGACCAAGGCAATCCTTTTTTTAGCTTCTGTTTTTTGTTGTTCTCTTCTTGTTTTTTTCTTGGAAATGCAGGCAAGCCTGTTAGTACACTTGAAGAACCAGGAGTTCCTCTTTTTGTCAGTCAGGGGTTGGCATCATAACCATACTATGAACAAATGTGTCCTGCGCAATTGTAGGGGTACGGGAATTGACTATGCACCACTTCTCCTTTAAGGCCTGGTGATTCCAACTGTATGGGCTAGGCAAGCTCACGACTCAGAACAGCATCTTTCTTCCTTCCGAACAGTCCCGATTTTTCTTGGCTCCCAAGCATCCCCCGAGTTTTCTTTAGCTCTTCAGGGTTTAGTGGTGGGTGGCGGCGATCGGAGGACAAGCCGCGCGGGATCTTCTGGCCCCGTGGTTGGCTGAGTGTCCCTAGGTCCCCCAGGATCGTGGCCTTCTCTGCCCTTTTTTGGTTTTTGGTTGGGAGGGTTCCCCTACTAATATAGACTGCAGAACGAAAAGAGAGAAACAAAACGGGTACCCTAACCTCTAACCTCTCAAATCTGGAGGACCTAGCCTTGGGCTCAAAAAGCGCCTGTCCCAAGCACGCGCCAGGCCCATTTGTACGAGGCCAAGCAGCTGGAGCACGCCTGTCTCAGCTTCATCAAGGCCGGCTGATTCGCTGAAGCCGCGCCTGGCTTGGTCTCAAAAGAAGTGGGGTACCCCTACTAGTCCCCCAGCAATTGGTGCCCTTTTTATTCCTTTTTGGTTGGGAGGGTTCCCTGAAATAGACTATATACAGAAAAAAGTTGGTAGCCTTATTCTAACCTCTCCTCCCACTGACATGGCACCTGTGGGAGGGTACCTAGAAGATCAGTTTCCTCTTAGAGGGACCCCTTGTCACGTGCCACGTTAGTAGGAGAGGGTACCCCTATACTCACGCCCGAAGTTTGCTGGACTTGAAGTTATTGGAGAGACAACAATTTAGTTAAGTAGACAGAAGGTGTTTGTTCTTGTTTTTCTGGCCAATCCGCTCAAGAAGTGGTCAAAATGGGAGTCGTTTCCTTTTGGCAGCGAATTGTGGCATCCAAACAGGGGTCTCCTTCTATGTTTCAAAACGGACCCTCAAGCTGAAAGCAAGGTTCGGGTTTGCCTTTGTTGAAGATCAACCTGAACCCTCAAAATTCCCTTAAAAATGGGTATGGGTAGTTTGAGGGTCCAACATCGAAAGAGCTAAAGAGCCCTTCGAACCCCAAAGAGCCATTGGCCTATGGCTTGTAGTTAAGCAAATGGGGTTAGTCTCACGCCAATAGACGGACCAACTTGCGGGAAGTGGGCCATCTATCACGCTGCAACTGTGAAAACATCCCTTTGTCCCTTTGTTACCTTAGGGGTTGGTTGCTCTGGTCCACCACTGTTCGCTTCTGTGCAAGCACTGGTCCGCACCCCTTCCTGCCTGGCTTCAAAGGGAAGCCGGCTGAGAAAATCCGTCGGGCCATTTCGGTGGGGATCGGTGGGGACTTCCCGAAAAACCGTTGCCCCACCCATATGGGTGTGGCGCAGGTTTTGGTCCATGTTTCCATTTGCCAGGGTTCCATTTTGGTACCGGTTTTTTGAGCCACACCCATAGAGTTCTTCCAGGGGTTCCCTTCTTGGATGTTTGGCCAAGTTAGTAAGTGGGAACGGGTAATCGCCCCTTGGGTTTTTTTCCCCCTGCAAAAAAAATAGCCACACATTTGCGGGGACGAATTTCAGTGGGTTAATACCGACCGGTTACCAGTACACCTTAGTAAGGCGAAGCGAAGACCCAAGTTGGTCCATCGCCTTCACCCGGGAAACCAGCGGACAACCCGCGGAAGACCCGTACCCAGAGGCTCCTGGGGCTTTCAATGGAAGACCCGACCCCTCTATTACACACCCCGGAGGAGGTTGGGTCTACGCAACATTCGGTTATTGTGGATCCACCCTTGTAGGAGAGCAAAAGAGTACTAAAAGAGTATTAAAAGAGGAACAGCTAGCCAAACAACATGGGGAAACCACAGCAAGCGCATCCAATCCGTTTGGATGGGGGGTCTCAAAACCAAATTGCTTGAAGGACAGTCGAAATCCATCGACTCGCCGAGAGGACAACCTCGGCGCGGTGGCCTCCAGCGCCGACTACGGCCGCGGCTGCAAGGCGCTGCCGGAAGTGGCGCTGAAGGCGGCCTGCGGGATGGATATGCGGGCGAGGGGAGTCGGGGCCCAGAAAAAGAGACCCAAAACCCCAAAACTCCACGACCCCTTATTGATTGAATAAATAATCTTTACAACCCAAATCATCAGGGACAGGGGCAAAGGTTCACTTGTTCAATGGCACCCATTCTTTTTCCAACTTTTTTTATGGCTGCCAAAAGCTAAAAAAGGTCCAAGCCCCAAACAGGGTTTTCCAATTCTCTTTTTTTCAGGGTCGCTGAACAACTGAGACTTGGTATTTCTGGGTCCCTTGCACTGAGAGCTACGGTTAGTGCCCATGATCGCCAACTCCGGGCCTTGGGGGACTTGCCACCATGGTAGGTGGGTTGTAGCCAGGGTTACAAATGTCCACGTGACCAAGTGCCAGACCATCTATGCATCCTTTTTCTTACCTCTTAAAAAACACAACTTTTCAACTTTTTGGGTAACATGGGCCATATGTCTGTAAAAGATTAACTTCCCCAGGGCTTGGAGTTTTAAGGGGCAAGTTTTGAGGCTCCACCCTTTTTCAGCTTGGGTGAAAGGGAAGCCAAAGGGCAACCGACAATATTGGAGGGTCCAAATCCATGCCCAAGGGTGTCCAAGCTTTGGAGACAACTTCTTGGTCTCACCCCCTGTTTTCCTGGGCTTTCGACTTTTTGGGTTTGACCATTGTAGTGGCATGCAGAAAGATCCAAAGATGGCGCGGGATCAAGTTGGGAACACGGATGAACACGGCAAAACCGCAGTCCTTTGGTCGAAACATGTATGTAAATGTAATTGCGCATCACATATGTATATATATATATATGCTGTACGCATATGGGGCGTTTCGGGGATGGCTGGGTTCGCTGATCATTCCGGCACATTGCCGGACTTAGCATACCAAGTCTTCACCTTTGCCCTTTGGGTTTTCCTTCCATTTCCCGCAGCAAAAGGTTCATCTTACCTCTTTCTCCCCTGGTGACTTGGATTTTTGTTTAGGAACCCTTCTTTCGTAGCTAGCTGGTGGGAAGGAGGGGATCTCCAATTTTGCTTCTCAAGAGAGAGCCTTTGGGAGCCGATCGGAGCACCACCTCCCCCTCCCCACCCCCGTCACCCCACCCCACCTCCCTCACCCTTCTGGTTAGGGCCATCTGGGGAGGCTTCCCCTTAAAACCGACAGAAACAAGTTGGTACCAACTTATTCCTTTCCGCTCAAATCTGGAGCACCTAGGTTTTGGGAGCCACATGAACTCGTGGGACTTCGCTTTTCTCGAAAAAACCCGGGGCCCCGCGGACCGTTTTTTGCGTAGCTTCCCGCCGCGGCGCGCCTCGCCGGCTCGGCGGCGCGGAGGTCACCGCCTTCACCGCGGGCCTGGACGAGCGCTCCGCGCTGAACGCCTTCGAGGCCTCGCGGGGGTTGTCCCCGGTCTTCCGGTCGACGGGGTCGGTGGATTTTTTCGGGGTTCCTGAAAGGACCTTCAAGAAAGAAGAGGTGGAAAACCATGGGGGGGGATGCTGACCATAATTATATGTATATGTATATATATATATATATGTATAACTATGGAACAAAACAATTTCTGTGGTTGCAGTCATTTTATGAAGAAAGCAGAAAAGGTAGATCATGGGGGGGGGCTGAACATATATATATATATATATATATACATATATATATATATATACATATATATATATACACACCTATATACACAGCTCAAAGCTTATATGGGTGATATGCGAGCCACCTCCAACACCCATACCTTCCCACTTGGATGACCTAACCCTGGTCAGGAAGTCTGTCCAAGATCACAGAGCACAGGCAATGCACGGTTTGTGTGTGTCATGATCATGGTTGTTGTCGGGAAACATGTTTCCAATTTTTGCTGATTGTGGTTGAATGGTTGAAATCCAACCACTTAACTGCTGGAATTGCTCCCCAAACCCAACGTCAAGCAAGTGATTGGGGAATAAAGTGTGTAACTAGTTCACACCCCGTTTTTAGGGTCTTCAACTTTGGGGTAGACCAGGGTTGTGGGATCAAGGGGTGTGTCCCCGCTTCTGTGATACAAGGGAATCTGCCCCTCTATACAGGGGGGTGGTCTTTGGGAGTGGTCATTTCACACAACCCTGGGGGAGACCAAATATGGAGCGTAATTGAATCAGAACATTTTTTTTTGTTTCGGAGTAGACGTGGGCCCAATACACTCTTGAAGTGGTATATACGAATTATTTTTCCCTCGAGGTAGTAAAAATAACTAGTGGAAGCCATCTTAGATGTGGCTGGAGGCTCCATGATCCTTTAAATGTGGCCACCCCTTTGTGTTGTTGGGTAGTGTTGACCGCATATGAATCAACATCAGTTTATTTGTGTGGGGTGTCCCTGGGTTTAATGAAAATTCATCACTTTTGAAAGCCTCCCCCTATGAATACACTGGGGGTTGATTAAGGTGGGGTCAAGAGCGAAAACTCCACCTGAGTCACAATTCAAACCTGGTACAAAAATGGTGAACCCAGAACCATGTAAAGAATTAGAAAGGCGGTCGCAACTATTTCCGGATGGGACTGCCCTACTAACCTTCATCCACCTGGGTTTTGATTGTGGCTCACCTGGCCTTCTTTGCTTTCACCCGAGCGTTCTGGCTTTTCAGCCGCTGATTTCCTGTTTCCGTTTCGAGGCCTGCAGGGAGAAGCGTGAGATCAAGGAGTCGGTGATTTGGCCGAAGAACGCTGGGTTTCTTCCATTTGTTTCAGAATATGTGTTACTTTCCTCACTTACCCAAAGCGAATCGACCTTTTTGACCTTTTGGTTGTCCCTGTATGGTCCACCTTTAGCACAGGGTCCCAAAAGGGTGGCCTTTTCTTGTGTCCTTTGGACTGGGTTTTCCTGTTTCGGATGGACCGGGTATCGCATGAAGGATTCGTCATGTGCAAGGTGTTACTGAAGCCAAACAGTGATCCTGTCTTTCAAAAAAAAAAAACAAGTTAACTTGCTGAATAATCAACATTCCTGATCCGAGTGGAATGGACACGGTTTGAAGACTACCACGGCCTATTCAACAAGTGTCCTTGTCTAAAAGAGTGCACGTGCATTTCTGCTTCGGACACGACATTGCACATAAGATATGTATATGCATATATATATATATGTCTATTCGTATGTGTTCTTACACATATGGTACTTACAGTGGATGGACAGAATCCTACACCTGTCGGGATGAATGGACGCCTGCAATTGTTGGGATGAATCACCTATCAACCGGTGCAGGATTTTGTCCGCAGTAGTTGCATCAGTTTTGTTCTCAGAGGGCTAGCGCCGTTTTCAGGGGATGGTTTGCACGCGGGAGAAATGAGTTGGATGATCCAGCACGTTGGGCCACCAAACATATTGTGGCACTGAGAACGCACCACGAGGTGACTGCTGGATCAAAGCCAAAACGAATCCATCCACTTGCCACCTGCTGATATCTTCAGGGGTAGCCGTTGTTGCCAATGACTCACCAAACCTGAGTTCATGGACTTTAGTCACTTTTTGGGTTTGGTCGCCATGTTGGTGGTAAACAAAAAGTGTGGACTTCTTTTGGCCCATCCACTCGATCCGAAGTGAGATGACCACTATAGACCCAATCATGTCATGACCTTTCCCATGAATCCCCTTATGGGTTGGGTGGGGGGGAAGATTTCACGGAGTATTTAACATGGAAAGCTTAAATTGGGGGGTGGAGGGAAGATTTCACTGAGTATTAAATTTGGGAAGCCTGGTTGGTCTATGGGGTTACAGCGAGGGTCTTCAGCCTGGAAAACAAAGGCAACAATGGCAAGGGTTCAGCAACTGAAAAATTGCTTTTTGACAGGGCTTCCTCACTAGGTCCCCCAGTAGTGCCCTTTTACCCTTTTTTTGGGGGGAGGGTTCCCCTACTAAAATAGACTACAGAAAAAAGGTACCCTTATTCTAACCTCTGTACTGGAGGATCTAGTCGATCCCTTTTTGAATCCCACCAAAAGTGGCGGTTTCCATGGATACCACCAGTAAATTGCACAACTTTTGCAGGGGAACTGCAGTGGAACCCCCTGTTTTGACAAACCCCCAACTCCTCTAACCAAGGAGAAGAGGAGAAAAAAACAGAATTGCTCACCAGCCGAAGAGTCCAACAATTTGAGAATCAAGACAAACCAAGTTGCAACCTTTGAGAGGGACATCTAGTAACAAGCCCCCAACTCCCCCAACTCCCCGAACCAAGGAGAAAGAGGAGAAGGAAAAGGAGGAAGAGAAGAAGCCGGCCAAGCGCAAGCGCAGCACTTGAGATCGCAGAGACGATGCAGCGAGCCAGCGAGCTCTGCGGTCTTGAATCGAGCAGTTGATCGCGGAGATCTGTGCCTTCCAATTGTTTGTATAGTTTTTTGGGGGGAGACCATCTTGGTAGTAGCCAAAAGGTAATAAACGTATCAATATTCATGGCTATTAACGTGTTGGGAAGAAGTGGATTTTTCATTGGGCCCACAAAAGGCTGGTCACTTTTGCAGACGGGTCAACAGCAACCAAGTTACCAGAGGTGCTGGACTTTAAAGTTTTGGTAAACAAGCAGTGTTATTTGTTTTAGCCTATCCACACAGGAAGTGAGAATGCACTGACCAAATCACTGTTTGGGAATGAGTAGTTTAGGGTTCCTCCTTTTCAGGAACCATCAAAAGCCAAGGGAAACAACTGGTTTTCGAAGAGAACCATAGTAAAAAAACAACTAAGGGCTGATTCCCCATTCTTTCCAGCCATCGTTCTTTTAAAAAACCAGCCATTTCCCTGTTTTTGTTGGCGGTTTTCTAGAAAGGAGGATCCCTGGAAAGAATGGGGAAGATGGCACTAGAAGAATGGCTTTCTCCACTGTTCGTCGTTGTTTATTCCCAGCAATGGGGCCGCGTTCGGAGTTCGGAGTGGCTCGGCTCGGATCTGTGGTTTGTTGGTGGTTTCTTCTTGTTTGGTTCTGTACATTGGTACTTTAGTGTATTTTGCCAAGGGATGTTAGGACTTTAACGTTTTGCCAACTATTGGATTTTCCGTATTAAACCACCAAAAGTGACAAACTTTTAGCAGGGGAGCAGAAAGCAACGGAGGGTAGTTGCAAAAAGCAAAGCTTTAGGCTACCATGAGTAATGTGTCTTTTTCCAAGGCAGCTTCCATGTTGATGTGTTTGAGTGTTTTCTGGGGGACTTATGCAAATGGAGGCTTCACAGTCCGGAATGATCACGCTCCGAGCCAAAAAGAGGACTCTGCACATGAAGAGAAGGAACCCAGCAACACCCCAACCTGAGTTTCGTGACACAGGTTCGCCAACCAGGGAGAGGGCCTCTTTCGAGTTTCTAGGTCCCCCAGTTTTTGTTGTTTTTTTTAATTAACTTTTTTGGTTGGGAGATTCGGTTCCCCTACTAAAACAGACTACAGAAAAAGTGTCGGCACCTTTATTCTAACCTCTCAAATCTGGAGGACCTAGGTTTTGGGAGGCACATGAACTTGCGGGAATTCGTTTTTCGAATTCCGGGGGGCCGCGGACCGCCGTCCGTGATCCATGCGGTTTGTGCAGCTGTGCTGCTGTGCTGCGCCGCGGTGCATTCTGTGGGGAGGAAAAGGTCGCAGTGCATTGCAATGCCCTTTGCTACAAATGGCCATGGCTCAAAATTAAACCACCAGGATATGGACCGCAAGTGTTGGTCCATGTTTCCACTTACTAGGGCAAGCCATTTGGGGTACCTATTTTTGACCACCACAGCCAAGTGGCCATAGGCTTCTCAAAATCCAAATCGGTTCGCCCCCAGTGAAGATCCTGGCGGTGCACCGGGGCTCCCAACATGGGATCGATCCCATTGGTTTGGACAACCACGGGCCAAATGGATTCCGTGTCTCTTTTTTTGTGGTTGCGTGGTGCTTTTTCCCGTAGGTTTTATGCTGGTTTTCTGGAAAGCCCTGAAAGGAATGGGGAAGCTACCCCATAGGACCCTTGTCCTATTGGTTGTTGAAAAAGATAAAGTCCTTTTGTGGTTACGTTTTGCCCTTTTGGGTTTCCATCATGGTTCCTTTGAACCAGCAACAAAGCGACACTTCTTGGCAGAGGAGTCTAGAAGCTTCCGTTTGCTGAGGTGAATGTGAATATAAGTGTTACTTTCGCCTCTTGGAGTTAAAGATAATCTACTGTGGATGGACGAAATCCTGCACCACTTTGAAACCATGGGAAGCCATGGGCTGTTGTTATTTACTGGGGAATGATCATTCCAGGGTTTCTTAGGTGGTGCAGGATTTCATCCATCCACAGTATCACTGCTGGCCACGGTTGCTCTCTTTTTTTCCAGGGACGACAAACGCAAGTGAAGGCCTAAACCCGGCCGTTTTTGGTTCTTGAGGGCTAAGAGCACCTGAGCAGGGAAAAGGGCTTGATGAGCTTTGTGCACAACTAGGTGCCCTAGTAGTGCCCTTTTACCCTTTTGTGGGGGAGGGTTCCCCTACTAAAATAGACTACAGAAAAAAAGAGTACCCTTCTTCTAACCTTTTTATTGGAGGACATAGCCAAGTTAACAGGATTTGTCTGTAGTGAAGCTTGCAAAGAGGTAATGGAAGATGTACCTGTCCACAAGGAACCCTTTCCAACAGCAAGGATTTTCTTCCATTTGCGGACGAATCAGCAAATGAGGTCTTCAAAAGGGGAACTGTGCACTTCCATATTCTTTGTGAACGTCACACTTGGGAACAAATTGAACCCCGAATACCCCCCCACCCCAACCCCACCTCACCTTCCCCCCCCCCCCACCCTTCTGGTTCCGGACATGCTTCGCGTTTTTTTATTCTCCGGGAATCGCAACTTGGATGGTCGGGGGGGTTCAAGGTTCGAAAGCCCACTTCTGACCAAAGAGTCCGAGTCTTGTGACCGAATCAGCCAAAAGTGTGAAGGACCTTTGGGAAACAAGTTTGGCTTTGCTTCACTCCCGATCATGTGGTAAAGAAAATGTTCGAATGTTTGTTGGCCAATCCACTCAAAGAAGTGAGTCTCCTTTGTTGTCCAAAGCGAATCGCCCTAAAATGACCTTTCGGTTTTAAACAATTTTCCTGGAAACATTTGTGTGGCCCACAGAAGGTCAACGCTGTTTTCAGGTTTGGGTTTGGTGACTGCACCCACCCGACTCGACCACTCCTCACACTTTTATCCGCTGGTCAGGCAGCGGAGAAGCCCGAGGCACGAGCAGCGCGCGCCAGGCGAGGCGAGCCCCGAAGCGAGTCGTAAATGAGAAGGAAATCTCACTCGTTCAGTGGCACCCATTTTTTTCCAACTTTTTTCTTGGTGGCTGCCCCACTAAAATGGTCCAAGCCCCAAAAAAGGGTTCCAATTCTCTTTTTTCCAGGGTCACTGAACAACTGAGAAATGAGACGGGCGAAAGTTGGCAAACTGACAAAGTCTGTTTCTTCTAAGAGACAACCTTGCCAAGACTCTTTGCGGCCATGGTACAACAGCGTTTGCTGAGCTGCCTAGAGTTGTTTGGTTCCACCGTCTCCCTGGTTTGCGAGCCATTTTCAGAAGCTCCCTTGGCCATGGAGCTTATCCCTGTAATCTCCCACCGGCCTTTTGTCCAAAGTTTTTTGTATTACGCTCTGAGATTACGCCCACTGGGAAATGACCCCATTTAGGCATATTCCCGGGATGAAATCATGTTATTTTGGACCATTTTGGGCCATTTCACAAGGGTGCAATCCCCAGGGTGTAATACAACAACCCTTAGATTTTGTTTGAAGCTGTGCGGGTCTTTTTTAGGGGGCTTGGTTTTCCTGTTGGTTTCCCTTTAAAGTCACTCCAAACGGGGTACCCTCAACAACAGACACACTTGTTTTTGCTTTTAGAGAATTGCCATTGAAGCGAAGAATACCTGGAGGTTCGATTTGCCATTCGTCACCTGAGTTTGTTGTAGCCCACTAATACCAATGGTAATAGCAGGGTGAACTCTTCGGGAGACTTGTAAGCGGGTTAGTTGAGTAGCTTTGGTTAACAACTTACTAGCTTGGCGAATCGAACACCCAAGTAGATGAAATGGCGAATAATGGCGATGTTTGTTCCATGGGTGATCCTTTCAACAGGCACATCACCGACCTCATATAAGATCTGACTGTGCAAACATGGAAAGGTGCCAAAACTGATATGACCTCGACGCCATACAGTGGATGGGATAAAAACCTGCACCACTTGGGATGGATGAAACCCTGTTGGATGAATCACCCACCTGGGGCAAGGTGTATTTCTAAGAGTATCCCCCTGCTCAGGGGTCCCAGGTAGGAAATGGCCATCCTGATTGCTATGGATCTTTAGATTTTAATATTTTCTTTCGGAAATGAAGTTGGTTTTATTTGAAAAACCCACACAAAAAGTGGAACCCACGTTTTGCAGCGGGGGTCGGTGATTCCCGCAACCAGGCCACGGAAAGTCTAATTTTTCCTACCCAGAGGCTCTAATTCAATTGAAGGGCCTTCAACCAACCTGGTTTTGAGACCCCCAACCACCTCGAGTTTCTAATGGAGGGGCCGGTTCTTCCATTCAAAGCCCCAGGAGCCTCTGGGTAGGGTCCTCCCCAGGACGGGCAGCTTTTTCGGGTCGCCAGGACCGCCATGCAAAAGCGCAGCGAGGAGGCTGGAGAGCCGGAAAAGAATAAGCGATACTGTGGATGGTTGCGAAATCCATTTCGCACCAGCTAAGCAATCCTTGTTTCGGATGATTCCCCTGAAAATTACCAAGAAACTAATGGCTTCCCATGGTTTCAATGGATTCCGTCCATCAGTAGGTCCCCCAGCTAGCTGCCCTTCTCTACCAACTTTTTTGGTCGGGAGATTCGGTTCCCCGTGTCTAAAATAGACGTCCTGAAAAAAGTGGGTACCGGAGGACCTAGGTTCAGTATGGGTTCATTGAGGGGCATTTGGACCCCCCAAAATGGTGAGAATTCTGTCGGTGTCCCTTTAAGCCAACCTTCAAGAAGGCTTCCCGGAAAAGCAAAAAAGAAGGAAGAAAAAGAAGAAAAACAACAGCATCCAGGGTCTGAATCTGGATCTAAGTTTGGAGTTGTTTTGCTCTTGTCTCTCTCTCTCTCTCTCTATCTCTTGCCGGACAAGGGACACGGTTTTGGAATCTGGGGTCAACATTACTCCATGAAGGTACCTTTGCGGGTCTCCTTTCCGGTTTACCATGCGTATGGTGTTCTTAGATTCGCAAGCTGCTCGATTGCCCAAATTGCCACAGCGAGCCCGGCCCACGCAGGGCCAGGGAGTAGGCAAGCCCGAGAGCCCAAAAGATGATCGCCTTTGATTTGTCTCACTTCCTGAGTTGCTGGACCTTATACTTTTTGGGTTCGGACCATTTTGGTGCCCAGAAGCTCCTGGGGCTTTCAA